TTTTCTTCTGCTATGCGTATTATTTCTGTATTGCTTTCTGATAGAGTCAGATAGTTCTTGTAGAATTTTGTTGTTGTTGTTGTTTTATGCCCAGGTCTCTCTCTTCTTCCCTCTGCATTATTTCTAGATTTCTATTTTCAATATTACTAATCTTTCCCCATCTGGTCCTCTCTACTTCCTATACTCTCTAGTTCATTCTTAATATCTTTTATTGAGTTCTTCATCTTCAGAATTTGTATTTGGATCTTTTTTAAAGTTTCCACTCTTTGGTAAAGCACTTGTTTGTTTATTTGGTTTCTGATTTCATTAAACTGCCTAGCTGTGTTTTCTTGAATCTTGAATTTTTCAGAACTACAATCTTGAATCCCCTGACATTTAAATAACATATTTCTATATCTTTAAGTTTATTTTCTTGAGATTTTCCATATTCTTTCTGAGTTGTCTTATAACCTTGGCTATTCATGTAGTTGATGGGCTCCTTCTCTGTCTAGGCATTTATATATGATTGACACATTTCTAATAGATTTGTAAGAAGTATTTTTATTGTTTTCCAGTAGGTTTTTTGTTTTGTTTTTGTTTTTGTTTTTTTAGCTCTCTTGCACTTCTCTGGTTTTTCTTATTTCTGTGGTGATGGTAGAAAATGGCCTTTGTTCCCTGAGAAGGTGGGCCTTTCCCTGTGATCCAGTCACGCAGGTCTCAGGAGACTAATCTTATGGGGAACATGTTGCATAATGTGGCTCCAAATTTGTGAAATCTCAGTGCTGTCTCCCTTGGCCATACATTGTTGGCAGTGCAGTCTCATTGTGCAGTTGTGGAGTGGGCTGGAGGAACCAAGCTACCTTCTTTGTTGCTTTGCCCTCTAAGCAATGACAACTAGTGGGCTTTTGTGCCATTTCCCTGAAGTTCCACCCAATCCTGACATTAGTAGCAGTGTTCCTTTCACTCAATGAAAGAGTGTTTCTGTAGTACAAGTTCTCAGGTTTGTAGAAAATGTTCTCTGCAACCCTACATGAAGGGTAAGGGGAGGCGAGCTTTTGGTGGTGGTTAAGGAAAGCGGCCAGTTCCATTGCCAAATAACTGAGGCTTTACTTGTGTGTTTCATCCCTGCCCAGGTCACTGGACTCACATGCAGCTTATACTATCCACTCCTGCAGGAATGCTGACTAAATCTCTTTCCTCCTCTGGGTTGAAGAGAGTGCCATTCATAACCTGATTCCACTTCTCTCTGGGCTGAGCCCTGCAGTGAGCTTCTGGCTGCAAGTCAGAGTCCATAGCTACTTGATCTCTTCTCACTTCTTGCTTCCCGGGTTCATCCCCACTTGCTCATTGTGCAGAGTTTGTGAGTTGAGCAGGGAATCCTTTGTTGAATTATAGCTGTTCAAATTGTTGAAATTTCAAGGGAAGAGACCAAGAGGATCTCTCATGCTGCCATTCCTCTGATGTCACTGAGATGAGAAATAGATTTTTAAATGTTTTCATATAAGTGGTCACTTAGTCCAATGGCTCTATAGTTGAGTTTTGTTTTTTACATCATACATATCTGAGACTTATGCCTGCTAACCATCTCTTCCTCATCTTTAACAGATTGCCAAAATCGAAAATGTCAATCATTTGTGTGATTTGAGAGTTTTAAACCTTGCCAGGAACCTTTTAAGTCATGTTGATAATCTTAATGGGCTGGATTCACTAACTGAACTGAACTTGCGACACAATCAGATTACTTTTGTGGTAAGTATTAAAATGGAATCAATGTAAGATTCCTAGCTGTTCCTTTAGGGAAATGAAATAAATATTATAGCATTGATTTATGCAAAATAAGCAGCTAAGTTAATTATTTTCCTTTTGAACTTAATTTGTAGATATAATTATTAAACTTTATAATTTTTTAAAATATATATTTTATTGATTTTTGTACAGAGAGAAAGGGAGAGAGATAGAGAGCTAGAAACATTGATGAGAGAGAGTCATCAATCAGCTGCCTCTTGCACACCCCCTACTGGGGATATGCCCACAACCAAGGTACATGCCCTTGACTGGAATCGAACCCTGGTCCCTTCAGTTCCCAAGCCGACGCTCTATCCATTGAGCCAAACCGGTTTCGGCAGCTTTATAATTTTTGATTTTGGGAAGTATTTGTGTGTTTTTCTATTTTAAAATTTAAATATAAAATTAAAAACAGAATAGAAATATTATCAGTAAATGAATCAGCTAGTGTAAATGTATACTGAATCCTTTCCTATTTTTTTTCATGGGTATAGAATTCATTTGAAAGAAGTTTATTAATGATTGAATGCTCATGGGTTATTGCAAAGGGAAATTTGGAGTTTTGGAGCTGTGAAGGCATGTATAAATATCATGTTCTTTGCAATTTTTATTTTTTAAAATCTATTCTTATTGATTTCAAAGAGAAAGGGAGTGGAAGAGATAAAAACATCAATGATGAGACAGAATCATTGATTGGCTGCCTCCTGCATGCTCCTTACTGGGAATTAAGCTTGCAACACAGGCATGTGCACTGACCAGGAATTGAACCGTGACCACTGTACAACACAGGCTGGGCTCATTGCATTTTTTAAAGAGGCAGCTTGTATAGTGAAAAGAGGATTGCATAGTGCATCAGAGGCCTAGTTCTGGTCTGAGCTTTATCTTACATTACCTATGTGACCTTGGGCAAATCACTTTAACTGTGTAAGCCTCAGTTTACTTTTTCTTTCTTTTTTTAATAAAGGCATTGGGTTAGAGTTTTCCTAGGGTCCTTTTTGGCTTTCTGATTCTGAAAAAAAAAAAAAAAAAAGACATAAAGATGTAAGAGAACTGGCATGTGAGAGGAAAAAAAAGGTAAAGCATTGTGGAGACAAAACTACAGAAAGGCGAACCTGGAACTCTGAAAAGAGACTGTCAGGTTTATAGTTTTACTCAAGTTCAGCAACTAAATAATAGGTGGGAATATTTAAAGAGCACTAAAAATACTGCTTTCAATTGTATGATATGTACAGGCAATGCAAACTGCTAATGATTAATAAAAACATTATTTGTTCTTTTAACAAGTTTTCATTGTTTACATGCAATAGAAAAACTGTGTTAGGTTCTCTCTGAATATCATTTAAGCACTTTCAAAGGCACAATCTAACTAAACTTTTTCAAGACATTGAGTTCTTTGGTAAATAAGTAAGTGTACCTTAAGTAGTATACTTGGAAAGGCTGGAGGACAGATAATGACTTACCTCTAGGTCTCATTGTACAGACTGGTTGCATTTTGAAGTTTTCCTAGGAAATCTGAGTCACATAATGCTCATATCTTTTTTGGATAATTTCAGAACCTTCTTCAAGACATGGATTTATTCCAGAGTCTCTAAATTCTGTCAGGCCCTCTCCCAGAATAGATTTAAATATTGGAAATGGCTTAGTTAAAAGAAAGACATACAGATTGAGTTTACCTATTACATTGCTAAGTCTCTAGGAACTTTGCTGAGGTTTGCTGGACTTAGTCTGTCCTTAGGACATTGGATATGGTAAGAATCCAAAAAGTTTGGGTACAGTAGGATACAGAAATGTCTTGGCTCTGGCATATTTCAGTCTATATTTTGTCTTTCTCTTGGAAAGTGCATTATGCATATCCTGGAAATTCCTTAAATTTCTCATTTAGTATCATGTCTAATTACTGTTATAGCCTGGGCAGCAGTAAACATCTTAGGGAAAAGGAAATTATATTACTTTCTTGAAGTTTAAAACATTGTACATATAGTGTCATTGTCAGGATATAAGTATGATGCATATTAATTTATAGGAAGTTGTGAGTATACATATAAGGATACATAAGAAACTTTACCCAACTCTTATTTTTTAAAGCATTTTTCTAAAAGAACTAACAGACTTTTAAATCTGAAGATTCTCCCCTTCCACCCCCCACTTTATCTTATTCCAGGGTCAGTTATTACACTTAAAGTTTTGCTTTTTCTTTTGTTGTTTTGATTTTTCTCAATGCTGGGAATCCTTAAATGAGGATCATGTTAAGTAGTGGCTAGTTCTCTGTGTAGCTTAATAGGCCTTTTAACCATAACATCTCTTCCTAGTATGATTACTAGATTTGTGTAAGCTGTTCAATTCGATACTGGCAGGCTTCACTTTTGAGTGAGTGAAAGGGAAAAGCAGACTTGCTCTGTAATTGCCCAAATAAGAAAGACTATTATTGTTGGGGGTAGGACTTTAATATCTTTTGTGCCAGGTGAAACTGCCATTCCTTTTCCACCTCTTTTCCTACTGTAGTAGTTATTAACCATCTCCATAGATAAAACACCTACACTTTCCATCCTTCCTTGACAAATACTCTTTATTTAGAGACCACATCTCAACTCTCCAAGGGTTTCCTCAGCCAGCTGCTTTCAAGGTGGTTGTGTGTGTGCATGGCTGGGGTAGAGGTGGGCTCGGTGGGGCGTATGGATTTGTTGGTACTTCTGGAATAGCTGTTGAGTAGACAGACCTTTAATTACACTTCCACTTGATTAGCCACAGTTAACCACCAGTCCACATGTGCGCTTTGTATGTACTGATTTGGATCATGGAGCATGATGGCATTCTGTCAGAAAGGATTGATGTCTTTGCAATGCAGCAGCTCTGTTGTGAGTTGAGCTGAAGTTTTCTCTGTTCAAGATCATCTGCTGTTGCAGAAGACCAAAGAAATATCAGGCACACTTCCTAGAGAAAGGGAGGGGCCCTGTTTACTAACACTAGTGGACTCTGGGAATAATTTCCAAATCAGAGTGAAGAAACTGGCAGAAGGCTTCCCTTTTTATAACCTTCTGGGGTCTTTGTTTTGCAGATATGGTTACACCCCTTTCTAGGGCCTACAGGAAGGCCCCCAGGTGTTGGGGGTCCCCAGGCCATATCTGATGATTTGTCCTGGGGGCAGCGATAATGATCTTCCTCTCCCTCCATACCCCCCAGGGCAGTGCATTGTTCGCAGTTTTTATGGCCTGTCAAGCCTTGCAAGACCATTTTCCATGCTCGCTTCGGCAGCACATATACTAAAATTGGAACGATACAGAGAAGATTAGCATGGTCCCTCCGCAAGGATGACATGCAAATTCGTGAAGCGTTAAAAAAAAAAAAAAAAAAAAAAAAAGACCATTTTCCTCCTCTGATATTATCCTCTCTGCTTTTAGCTCCCTGAAATTTATAAAATGTTGATCTGTTGTTGATAACTCTCTCTCTTTTTTAAAATCGCTTCCATGGATTTACTCATTTTGTGTTTGTTTGTTTGTTAGTTTGTTTTGCTTCACCCATTGAATTTTGAGAAGAATAAAATGAAATAAATATACTACCTATTTCACCATCTTCTCAGAGATCTCATTTTTTGATGTAGAAAAGTTGTTTGTTAAATTTGCTAAATCTTTTTCTGGGAAATTTTAAAACACATGTCTTTTTAGTTTACATGGTATTTTCCCTTTTAAAACATTACAGACATTCCCAAAAGAATAGAAAGTAATATTCAACATTTGTGTATCCACCAATCAACTTAATAATTAAAAATGTTTCAAATAATAGTTGAGGTCTTCTGTGTGTTACGCCCAGACTTCGTGATCCCCAAGGACCACCAGGGAGCCGAGTCTGATGCAATAAACAAAAGAGCCTTCTCCATGCTAGCGTGGGCCCCTCCCACCCACGCCTGCAGCATGGCGGAAGAGAGAGCGAACTTCTCCCAGTCCAGAGGTTTTACTCTGGTCGGTGGTGATGTCACTGCCTCAGCTAACCCTGATTGGTTGGGTGAGGGCTAGGGATAACTTCGCCCTGCGGGGTGGAGTCGGGAGCTCATCCTCGCCATGTCCTGCCCTCTCACTGTGTATCTCTCCCCCATCACATTTTCTTCCTTTTTTGCAGAGGTAACCCCATTGTGAATTTGGTGTTTATCCCATTGTGAAAGAAAAGAGCCACATGCTAACCTGACAAGCTCAGGAAAGACCTACATGGCAGTCTTGCAAACCCAGAGACCTAAGATAACCACAAAAGATGGTTTGAAAATTAAATATCTAACAGAGTATAGTAGGTAGTCATGTCCTAGATATTTCACCTGACAAAGATCAACTTTGATCTACTTTTACTGAGCCCACTTGCCTTCCTGCATCTAAGATAACATATCCCTGAGATATAACTTGTACTTTCTTTTTACCCTGGACCCCTCAGGTCACAACAAATGGCCTCAAGACATTCCCTCATTGTTATTGTTATCAAGTTAATTGTCAACTGTTAATTACTTTAGAGTATCCTGTACCCATCTCTGTAAAAGAAGCTCATGTCCATTATTTAACCTCTTACCCTATCCCAGAGGTTTCCCCTCTTCGCTCTGTCCCACCTCCTTAAACTATCACCAATGAATTTCATGTAACTCACCTAAGTCCCTTTCCTTTGATTGCAATGTATAAATATAGAAACATAACCCGCCATTCTCTGGAGCATTATCTCAATCTGTTGAGGTTCTGCTTCCCGGCATATGTCGACAGTTTGGCTCAAATAAACTAAAAAATAGTTCTTTACAGGTTTCAGTGTTCTTTCGTTAACACCAGGAATGTCTGTTTTTCTCCCATATCTGTATGTAACCCTAAATAATATGAAGTAATTCTTTTGCATGCTTTTAAATGTCCTATAAATGGTAGTGTATGTATCTTCTGTAAGTTGTTTTTATTGCCATTATGTTTTGAGATTTATCTATGTTGATACCTGTAGTTCTGGTTTACTAATTTTCATTATTATATAGTACTGTACTATATTATTGCAACTAAATAGTCATTCTTCTATTTATGAAAAATAATATTATTTTTAATTTTTTGTTATTAAGAGTGATGCAGATAACTTTTTTTTTCCATGTATTTTTGTGCCTATAATAACACTGTCAATAGGTCAGTGGCTTTCAAACATTTTTAGCCATAATTTATGGCAATAAAACACTTATATTGAAACCCACATACTTAATGCATATTTATGTGATTTCATTATAAGTAATGGAGCAAGCATTTCATGAAACTATACCCTACCCTTACTGTAATCCATTCTAGTATATCCTATTTGATTCCATTATATTTCATTAAAAAATGTTGGTTTAAAAAAAATGTTGGTCTCAACCTACTGAATTGATTTGTTGACCACTTGGGGTCAGCCAGCTTGTGTGTTGGAGTGATGGTCAATCTTCATATTACTCTTTTATTAGATAGGATAGAGGCCTGATGTATGGGTGGGGGCCAGCTGGTTTGCCCTGAAGATTGTGCTGGATTAGGGTGGGGGTTCCCTTGGGGCGTGGTGTGGCCTGGGTGAGGGGCCTGTGGTGGTTTGCAGGCTGGCCATGTCTCCCTCCCCAGAACCCCCCTTCTGCCTCCCAAGTGACCCAAGCGGGGTCCCTGGTATATGGGGTTTATCTTGTACAATTGAAACTTTGTAGCCTGGAGTGGAGGCCTAGGCCAGTTAGGGCAGGTGGAAATCTTGGGGGCAACCCTAGCCTGCTCTCTCAAGCTTTGTGGCTGCCCTGATTTTTCTTGGGATTTATCTTCCATAATTGAAACTTTGTAGCCTTTAGAGGAGGCCTAGGCCAGCCAGGGTATGTGGAAAGCTTGGCTTCCTCCATTGCTGAAGAAACCCTACTCTCTGTGGCTGCAGCCATCTTGGTTGGGGTTCAATTGCACACAAGCCCTGATTGGCTGATGGGCATGGCTGGTGGGCGTGGCTGGTAGGTGTAGCAGAGTGATGGTTAATTTGCATATTACTCTTTTATTAGGTAGGATATATATGTATATATATTACAAACAATGATAATTTTTCCCTATTGTAGATTTTGTATCTACTTGTTTGACTCAACTTCAAGTTTGACTGAACCTCCAGTACAAAGTCGGTTGAAGAAGTAAAAATACCTTATTTCTTATCACCAGCTGTGTCTAAATGCCATTTATCAGTCTGAAGAAATTATCCTCTGCTTAAGGTTTATATTATGAATGGTTTTGGGGTTTTATTAAATGATTTTTCTTCAATTTTTATATTGATCATATGGGTTCTTCTTTGATAAATTAAATTTGAAAATTGTAAGATTTTGTAATCCTAAGTCATTCTAATATTTTTGGTCATTATGTATATTATATACATTCCTGATTTTTTTTGTTAATAATTTATTTATAATATTTACATCTATGTTAATAAATAAGATTGGCCTGTATTTTCTTTTATTTTTATTGTTCTTTTCTGGTATGAAGGTCATACTAGCCTTGTACAGTATATTGTGGGTGCTTCCCATTTTAATTGTGAATTTTTATTTTAGTTTATAATAATAAAATCATAATATGCTAATTAGACTGGACAGCTGATCGACCTCTGGACATCATTACAGATGTCCTTCTGAACAAAGCCACCATGGTGGAGGCCGAAGCAGAGGTGGTTAAGTGCTATCAGGCAGGCAGGGGAGAGGTTAAGGGCAATCAGGCAGGCAGGCAAAGGCAATTAGGGGTGATCAGGCACACAGGTGATTAGGCAGGTGGGCAGTCAGGAAGGAAAGCAGAGTGGTTAGGGAGGATCAGGCAGGCAGATGAGCAGTTAGCGGCGATCAGGCAGGCAGGCAAGAGGTGGTTAGAGGTGATCAGGCAGGCAGGTGAGCAGTTAGGAACCTGCAGAATCGGGCTTAAACCAGAAGTCGAACATCCTCCGATCCCCCGAGGGGTCCTGGATTACGAGAGGGTGAAAGCCGAGCTGAGGAACCACAACCTCTGGTGCACAAATTTTGTGCACTGGGCCTCTAGTATAAATTTCAGTTTATATAAGATAAGGATGATCTGTTCCTTGAATAGTTGATGTAACTTATCTGTTAAATAGGGTAATTTTAAACTATTGAACTCAGTAATAATAGTGGGCATCAGTTTTGATGTGTAATAGTTTTCTTTCATCTAAATTCACTTTTTTTTTTAATGTTCTATTTGTTGTCATGTCTCTCTTATCACTTCTACTGATGCTTATTTGTACTCTTTTTTTTTTGAGGGTTGTGTATTTTTCTAATGGTTTCAAAAAACCAGCTTTTGGCTTTATTGAACCTCTCTGATAGCTTTTAAAAAATATATTTTTGTAGATTTTTGATGTTATCTTTTATTCCCTCTATTTTCTTTCTAAGGTTTTGTGCTGGATATTTGATACCATGGTTTTCGTTGTGTTTTTTTTTTAGTTCTTTTTATATGATCCCTTAAGGTTACAAATTTCTCTCTAAGAATTACTATAATTTCTTCTCCCAAGTTTTGCAATTTAGTAGTTTTATTATCATTTTGTTCGAGATACTTTCTGAGTTATATCATTATTTCTTCTTTGAGCCATGTGCTATTAAGAAATATATCTAAAATTTTTAATATGGATTGTCTTGTCATTCTTTTCTAATTTATTGTATTGTGGCTGATGAATGTGAATTATATGTAATTGGTTCTTCGGCATTTGTTGAGGTTTGCATTGTTGCCTTGTTAGTACTTATAGTCAATACTTATTAATATATTTGCTTAGTTATACTCAGTACTTGAAGCTATGTTTCTAAGTATACGTAAGTTTAAAATTGGTGCATTTTTCTGGTAAACTGTTCCTTTTTTCATTATGTATTAAATATCTTTATTACTCATTTCTTCATTCAACAAGAATTTTTTAGCATGGGTCCTATGCCAGGCACTGTTCTAGGTATGTTTGTATGTATCAGGAGGCTAATAATACTTCCTGTCTTAACATTTATTTTGTATAATGTTAATATCAGCTTTCTTTTGGTTATTTTCCCTGGTATATCTTTTTTATTCCTTAGCCTTTTAACATTTTAAATTTTGACATAATTTCAGAAAATGTTGCAATAATGGTATAGTAATTACCAGTAACTGTTATTCATATTTTTTAAATGATAGCATTTTAGTACATTTGCTTTATATTCTCTTGATTCTCTCAACTCTTCTTTTCTCTTTATATATTCCAGTCTTTCTGTTTCTCTATTTTTTCTGAACCATTTAAGAGTAAATTTCAGGCATTACGCATCCTTATCTTCACATATGTCAGTGTGCATTTTCTAAAATCAAGGAATTTTCCTATGTAACCACATTACAGTGATAAAAACCAGGA